CGGGGAGCGGCGGGGGGGGAGCGTCGGTGGCGGGGGTGAAGTGGACAGCGGCCCGGCCGGAGCCCGGAGCTGAGGGGACAGCGGCGTCCCCGAGCGAAGGGGCGGGGGGGGGCAGCGGGTCTGAGGCTCTGCTCTCCCCACAGCTCCAAGCCCAGCTGGGCCGACCAGGTGGAAGAGGAGGGCGGAGAGGACGGTGAGTGACACCTGCCGCAGGCCGCTTCCCTCCCCCTTTTTCTCCTGCTGCTCCTCCTGCTGGCAACCGGAGAGTTTTTCTGGAGAAAAAAAGCAGCTGCTGTTCCTAAAACAGCCCGGAGATGCGCCCGCTCTTTGTCCAGGGCTCAAAACAGGCTCCCAGGCTCTTCTCCGAGGCCGATCCTCGCGAGCAGAGCGTGCCTGACCTGGGCCAAGGAGCAGGGCCCCTCTCGCCATCCTTGCTCCACCCATTTCGGGGGCTGAGGAAGCCCAGGGGGTTGGAGCCGCCAGGATTTCTTGACCCTTTGGCCTTTTCCCGTGCTCAGGGGAGAGAGCAGGGCACCTCCTCCCTGCGGGGAGAGGCTGCGCCGGGGTGCGGGGCTCCTTCCCCCTCTGCCGGGCTCGCCCCAAGCGAGGGGGTGACTCTCCCCTTCTCCTCCCGCAGACAAATGCATCACCAGCGAGCTGCTGAAGGACATCCCCCTGCCCGGGGTGCTGGGGGGCAGCCTGAGCGCTGAGGCCGAGCTGCTGAAGGGAGGTGAGAGCCGGGCAAGAGGCCGGGGGGCTCTTTTCCTGCCGCCTCCCCCACATCGGACGCTGTCCCACTCTCCCCCCTCTCCGCAGGCCCGCTCCCCTCCCCAAAAGAGCTCATCAACGGGAACATCAAAACCATCACGGAGTATCGCGAGGAGGAGGATGGGCGCAAGGTGAAGGTGAGCAGCGCGTCCCGGGCTGCCGTTTTGGCTTCTTCCCGCCGCCGAGCTCCCCTCCTCCCCTCCCAGAGCCCTCAGCTCCGCCCCGGCGCAGGGGCTGATCCCTGCCTGCGCCGTCGGGCAGCACCAGGCAGCCACGCGTCAGCCGGGACGTCCCGTCAGAGCCCCGTTTCGACTCTGCTGCTTCGGGCAGCCCCAAATTTGGCACTTGCAGGGCGGAGGCGCGTCTGCCGTCCCTCCTCCCGCGTTAATCGGTTCGTTTACTCCTTTACAGATCATCCGCACCTTCCGCATCGAAACCAGGAAGGCTTCCAAGGCGGTGGCCCGTCGGAAGGTGAGCGTCTCCGGCGGGAAGGGCGAGGGGGGGGACAGCGCTCCCTCCGCTGGGAGGGAAAGCGGCGCTCCAGCAGGAACCGCTTCCTCTCCCAGCCCTCTGCTTCTCTCCGTTCCTTCTCAATCTCCCAGCCAGCCCTCGGTGGGGAGCGTTTCCCTTCCCGCTGGCTGCTCCTGCTCAGCGATTGCCCTGCGAACGAGCCCCCCTTTTTCTTCCCCGTTTTCTCCCCAGAACTGGAAGAAATTTGGCAACTCGGAGTTCGATGCCCCCGGACCGAACGTGGCCACCACCACCGTGAGCGATGACGTCTTCATGACCTTCATCACCAGCAAGGAGGTGGGTCGGGCGCGGCGGGAGCTCGCCGGCCGGCGGTGAGCGCCCCGGTGATGCCGCGCCCGGGCGCGTGGTGGATCCCACGGGATTCAGGAGTCTCCCTGTCCCCCAGGACCTGAACTGCCAGGAGGAGGAGGATCCCATGAACAAGCTGAAGGGGCAGAAGATCGTCTCGTGTCGTATCTGCAAGGGCGACCACTGGACCACCCGCTGTCCCTACAAGGACACCTTGGGGCCGATGCAGAAGGAGTTGGCCGAGCAGTTGGGGCTGTCCACAGGCGAGAAGGAGAAGCTGCCCGGGGGTACGGCACCCCCTTACCCTGAGGCGGGGGAGCAAGGGGCGGTCGCTGCCTGCCTGCGGGCAGCCTCACCTCCTGCCTGTCGCCTTTCCTGCCCTCAGAGCCGGAGCCGGTGCAGGCTCAGCAGAGCAAGACGGGCAAGTACGTCCCTCCCAGCCTGAGAGACGGAGCCAGCCGCCGCGGGGAGTCCATGCAGCCCAACCGCAGGGGTAAGGCAGGCCCGTCCTCGGGGTCGGGGCGACCTCCGCGCTCACCGCCGGGCCTCCGCGGTGCCGTGTACGGCGCGCGCCGGCTCTGGTGGCGGTCCCGCCAGCAGCCTGGACCTTCCTCCTCCTCAGCCGACGACAACGCCACTATCCGTGTCACCAACCTGTCCGAGGACACGCGTGAGACTGATCTCCAGGAGCTGTTCCGGCCCTTCGGCACCATCTCTAGGATCTATTTAGCCAAGGACAAGACCACCGGGCAGTCCAAGGTGGGCACAGAGGGATTTTCCCCTTTGGGGGGCTGAGGAGGAGACCCCCCGGCTTCCCCTCACCCTCTCACTTCCCTCCCACCCCAGGGTTTCGCCTTCATCAGCTTCCACCGCCGGGAGGATGCGGCCCGGGCTATTGCCGGGGTCTCCGGATTCGGCTACGACCACCTGATCCTCAACGTGGAATGGGCCAAGTAAGTGCCGGGGGTGGCTCGGAGGCTCGGGGGGGGCGCAGGCTCCGTCCCTGCCGGGTGTTGGGGGTCCGTGTGTGGCCGCCCCTCTCTTTACCGTGGTCTCCCCTCCTCACCACGCTCTCCTCCTCCTCTGCAGACCCTCTACCAACTGAACCCACTGCGCCGGTGCCGTGCCGGCTCCCGGCGAGAGCAGTCGGCACTTCTGAATAAAGACGCACGGTCTGGTATGCACCAAGGTGTCGATCTGAGCTGGAAGGGGGGCGGTTTGCCGGGCAGGGAGCAGCCCTGTCCCCACGCTGTCACCACATCGTCCTGCGGTGGAGCTGGGGCTGTCCCCGACCCACCCCTGCCCCAGGCACATGGTGGAGATGGCAGCACCCAAGCCAGCGACGCGGGGAAGGGCACGGCGCCACCGTTCCTCCGTTTTTAGGCTCATTCCCAGCTTTTTAGCTAGGAAAAAGGGGGATCTCTGCCAAAAAAGGCGCGACACGAGGCTGTGCTTGCAGTTTCGGCTTTAATCTGCCTTCTGCTGCCCTTTCCGGGAGGGAAACGTGTGCCGAAGGGCCGCGCCGAGCCCGATACGGCTGCGCCAGCCGCCTTGGGCCACCCCAGGAGGCTTCTAGGCCACCGGCTGCAGCTCCGCGTGCTCAGCCCGCTCCCCGTCGGCGGTGCCGGCGCCGCAGGCGGCACCGCAGCAGCTCTGCATGCTGTCGGCCAGGGCGGCGTAGAGCAGCGGTTGCAGGCAGATGTTGAGGTTAACGAGGATCTTGCAGACCTGAGCGGTGGTGTGGATGGCTCGGGAGACGGCGCAGTCCTCCACGCCCGGGCGCAGCAAGCGACGCTGCAAGTTGAGGTTACGGAAAACGTGGTAGGGCAGATAGGAAAAGGCGTAGAGAACCACTCCCGCCGCCACCAGCGTTCCCCCTTTCCGTTTTTCCCGCCGGCTGCGGGCCCCGCCAGCAGCAGGCTGTAGGGATAAAACTCCCGCAGCCGCTCCGGGGCCGCGCTCCCCAAACACTCGATCGCGCCCTCCGCTTGTTGCAGCTCCGAAAAAAAAAAGGTGGGTGCCGAGAGCGCCCCGGCCAGCACCCAAACGATGGCGCTCAGCGCCTTGGCGTGGCGCGGCTGCAGCCGCCCGTGGACCCACAGCGGGTGAACGATGCCGAGGTAGCGGTTGAGGCTGATGCAGGTGACGAAGAAGATGCCGCCGTAGAGGTTCCAGTTGAAAAGGAAGCGTTCCAGCTTGCACAGCGTCGCTCCGTAGCGCCAGTCCTTGGGCGGGTAGTAATACGCCGCCAGAAACGGCAGCGAGAGGGAGTAGAGCATCCCGCTGACGGCCAGGTGGAAGGAGTAGACGATGCCGCTGTGCCAGGAGCGCTCCTGGGTGGCGAAACGGTAAACGGCCATGCCGTTCCCCACCAGCGCCGGCGGGAATTGCGCCGCCAGCACCAGCCACAGCGATTCCTGGAAGCTGCTGAAATTACCGCAGTGATGGAGATGGGCGGCCATCTCGGGGGGGTTCCTGCCCGCGTCCCCCTCCTCTTTTTGGTGGCTGCGGGCAGGGGCACGGTTTAGGTTGCAGGCAGCGAAGAGGCAGAGCGCGGCCACGAGGGCTGCCGGCAACCAGCCGCGCAGGGAAGCGGTGAGGCCTGGTGAGCCCCAGCCGCCTCGCGCCAGGACCGAGGAGGCTTTGTGGTTCCACGCTGGGGACGGAATGGTGTCCCTCTGTCCGTCCTTCCTCCTTGCCTGGCTCCCAGGGTGCAGGCAGGAATCCTAGAGTGCAGGCAGGCCTCCCGGGTGCAGGCAGGGGTCTGTACTTCTGCCTGCAGCCCCGCCGCTCGCCCCACTCACCCCGTCCTCGGGCTCCGCGCTCGCCTCCCTCCTCTCCCGTCCCCCCCTTCTCGGTGGCAGTCGCAGGGCCACCGCAGGGTCACGTCCTGCCCCGTTTTGGGGACAGCGGGGGCAAGAGGCTGGCGGGGGGGGGGGGGGGGGGCCGGGGGGGGCGCGCCCCGGTCCCG